CAAATGGGGCATTTCTAGAAAATTTTTGGTTAAGAAAAGCATTAATCCATGAAATGACACTTCATTTCAATGATCTTTTATGCAGTTAAGCCATTTTACTAAAGCAAACATTTGCTAATTATGAGGCGCATACTATATGGAATGTTATTTATATTATTTATAATTTTTCAGAATAAAATATGGAAGAAACAAACTTAATGAAAGGGAATATTTTTCGAAATAAAAACGAAAATTTGTAACGTATTCTTCTGAAAGGAATTCGCATCTTTCATTTTCATATCCACATAATTAAGCTATCTCACCGAAATAGCTTTATCAGTGATAGTAAAAGTTGACATGCAGCTACTGGTATGGCAAAAAAAGTTATCGAAACGTTATCCAGGATATGCTTCCTTCCATTATCAGCTTTTAAAAAGCGTTGCAGTAAATGAAATTACCACTTGTTATAGACGTTTAGATATAAAAAAGAATAAGTAGCAGTTACTAAACTAACATCTTTATGTCTGCTTTGCACAAATCTGAAAAATGCATCAAAGTTTGGGCGACCGAAGTGATTGGCAGCATTGAGACCCGTGAACATACTCCGTCCGTCACCGCCACCACGGAAGTGCTTCTCACAAATGTACTGAAATCAAATCATTTAACTTAAAAATCAAAAAGTACTGGGTTTATTTTAGTTTCTACCATAGTGCTTTCTCTGGGATTGCACAACACTGACGATGGACAAGCTTCTGGTCTATCCACGACGAATAGGGCAGCGATAGTCTGGGTGCTCGTTTTCCCTATTTTGCTGATTGCCTCGGGTCAAACTGATAGTGATGTTCTGACCAATTGTCAGTATCAATTTGCCATTGAAAAAAAGGAACCAGTCGCACAAAAATTAGCTTCCCCAGTGACACAGTCGAGCCTTTAACGCTTAGTTTGAAAGTACCACTACTTGTTACAGCTTTGTATCCACCAACGAAATGTGAAATACCACGGAATTTCCAGCTTGTGTCGGACTTGGAGCTAAATGATCAATTTTGTATTAAATTGTTGCATTGCTGGTATTGTGTATTTGGACAGAATTACGCGGTGGATTGTATGGGTGAAGTTGCGCAACCAATGTTCGTCTTATATAGGGGAATAATGAGCAACTGAAAAGGTTTTTATGCGTTTTTGCCGTGCAGCGCTAGAGCGCTGCAACAGGCAGCAAAAACGCATATTGC